CTGCAATATCCTGATCTATACTTCTACTTACTTCTTCGTAGAATGCAATTAGGTTAGTTTGATATGACCTATGTTTCATAAAACCATGCTGATTATTGCTAATAACAAAGTTCTTACCAATGAATTCCTGAATATTATTCCTTAATAGCCCTTCAAATATTTTCCCAGTCACAGAAGTTAAGCTCACAGGTCTATAATTTCCAGGCAAGGATTTTGAACCCTTTTTAAATATAGGAACGGCATCTGCCTTCCTCCAATCCTCCGGTACAATACCTGAAACAAAAGAATCTTGAAAAATGTAATACAAAGGTTAATTTTAAATACAGAGGTTGTAATTTAAAAAGTTCAAAAACCTAATTCCCTTTACTGAACTACTAGTCCCTCTGTCCCAATTTATGTCCAGGTAATAAAAATCTCCAATAATTAACATATTACCCAGATTTGCAGCTTTCTCAATTTGCTCAAACAGTTGTTTCTCATCAATATTAACATTAGGTGGTTTATAACATATCCTGACCAATAATTGATTTCCATTCTCTTGTCCCAAGCAGATATTTGAATTGACTATTTTATGGTTTATATTTGTTGAACAGTTTGACTGTAGTGCAATATAAATTGAAACTACTTTTCTCCAGGGTACATAAGTGGATTTGTAACTAAGTTTCACCAGCCTTGTTTTTTATGATGTGCAAGTCCCAGCAAACTAATTATAGCAACATTATATTTTACAAATTATAGGGAGGAATTAGGTGCACGGGCATTCACAACCCTATTGTTTGATAGATAAGGTAGAGTGAAGAGGGGAACTGGAAAGTAAGGTTTATCATACCTTTCAAACCGGGGCAGTTAGTTAATAAGCCAAAAAGAGAATGTAAAATATATACATGAAAAATGGCTGAAAGCATATTATCGTGCTCTATGAGAGTTTTTACTAATAAGGTCCTAGACCAGTTTAAGCTCACTTACAGAATAAACAAAGTTTTTTTTTTAATAGGATGGGTTTCATCCACTGAAGCAGTAGAACCAGAAATTCAGAAATTCCATTACACAGCTCAAGGCCTGGATCCCACACCTGAATCTGAACACAGGGCCCAAGTCCACGTCCACCCACAATGATGCAATGTGTGTATAGTGGATGCAGTGTGTGTATATAGTGGATGCAATTTGTGTACAGTGGATGCAGACTGTGTGTGTGTAGTGAATGCAGTACAGTATGTGTGTATAGTGAGTGCTCTGTGTGTGTATAGTGTGTATAGTGGATGTAGTATGTGTATAGTGAGTGCAGTGAGCATGTAAATATGTGGGGCAGAATAAGGGCTGTGTTCTATGGGAAGTGAGCAAGTTTAATTTTTAATAGCAACACTCTGACAAGTGGGGTTCGTGAGAGGACTTGCCGTAGATGGAAGCTGGAGTCTTCCACCCCACCCATTATATAAGCAGCAGCGGCCCAGGACAGGAGCCTGCAGATGTATTTATATCTTTATATATATATACACACATACCATAGTGAAGCCCATGGAGCAACGCAGTGGGGGAGTGGGCCTTGACAGGGCCAGAGAGTGGGCAGGTGAAGTTAGGGTCAAGGGGTGTGGATAAAATTGATATTTAGTTTGGGGGGAGGAGAGTAGGGGTTTAAATAACGGCCATTTTAGTGAAGTGGCCATCCTAATCAAAAACCTCACTTACTTGTTACTTGTAGCAGGTCTGTGTGGTTTGTTTTTTCTCTTTCAGGCATGGCTTCTGCTGAAGAGATCCTGGCTGGTGTCTGAAGAATGGTGGAGGAGAAGGGGATGTCCTGGCTACAGGATCAGTTGAGGGTCTGAGCACATCTGCTCCCCCCCACCAGCGGTGATGGAGAAGAGGCTGAGGAGAAGGGCACGACCGCCCCAACAGCTCAGCCCAAGAGTAGCACCTACGGAGCTGAGGTGCCGGAATCCGTCGTCCGGCGGACCAGGAGGGGAGGCCCAGGCGGAGGGACGGGCCGCGGGAGCAGGAGCACGCCGGTCGGGCGCTGGTCAGACGCGGAGGCCTGCAACACGGAGGGAGCCTCACCGCAAGTCCGCGGGCTGGAGGGCATGCCTGGAAGCCGGATCCGGCATGGCAGAGGAGGTGGCTGGACAGGATGGCGTTGGGGGACCAGTCAATCAGCGCCCCGGTGAGTCCGCCCCTGGTGGCGATGCTGGAGGGCAGGGAGCAGAGATGCAGGCAGACAGCTTGGCGCTAGCGCCCCTGCAGGTGGCAAGGGGGGATGCGGATGACAGGGCAAGGACAGGTTTAACCCTTGCAGGGACCAGGCGCAGGGCGAAGACAGGGATGAGGTTCAAGGGACAGGAGCCCAGGTGACTAGTGGATCAGCAGGGGGGTGAATCCTAGCCCCCAGGAGGTCATCAGGGGATCCAGTGTGGACACAGCAGGAGACGGGAGGATGGGTACAGGGGACGTGGAAGAGAGGCAGAGTCCGAGGAGGAGAGAGCACGGCAGGGGAGGCAGAGATGAGCGGGAGCCCCCCAGGGGTTGCTCCCAGGGTTAGCGGGTCTGGAGCAGGAGGCGGAGAGAGAGTGGAGAACAGCACAGCGACAGCGACAGGCGCAACATACGGAGAAGGTCAGCGGAGGGAGGGAGACACAGGAGCAGGAGCTGGTCCAGGAGCCAGTGGGGGAGACAAGGAGGGAGAGATATCGGCGCAGTGCATCAGTATCGTCAGCCAGTTCACCGGGAGAGCAGAGGAGCGCATAAGGCTGGGATGGTCAGGCGGCAAAGCAACGCAGGGACTGGGACCGCGGAAGGGAACGCAGGGAGAACGGGCGGGTAGGGCAGCATGTGGGCAGACTACCCAGGTTATCTTCTGCCAGCAGGTCACGGCGAGTCTCACCTATGGCCTCGAGGAGGGGCCAGGCGGACAGGAGTCAGCGACAACAGGATGCTCCGGAGCCTGGCAAGGCGGATGGACGGACGACAACCCCGCGGCCGGCCACGGTCAGGGGCACTGGTGAGTCAAGACATACACCACATACTGGGACTTTACTGGGTTACTTGAAAACATTCTTAGAGTCATGGATGGGTGAAGAGAGGTCATCTCCGCAGTTTGTAAGGGTATGGTCACCAGAAGGCGGGAAAGAAAAGGAGCTAGGGGCGGAGGTGGCGGTGGCGCGCAGATTGAGCGTCGGCGATGTAGATGAGGTGGCGGCAGTAGCGGGGAGAGCGTAAGGGTCGGGAGACCAGGTATAGGGCATGGCGAGATAGCGGAAGTGGCACGGCAAAACGTGCACGTGTCTTTTGCCGGGCCACTGGGGTGTCACTTGAAAGCTGAAATAAAAGAAAAAATTTGGAGAGGTGAGTTCATGGAAATCTTCTCCCTGCTCCCACTCGAGGAATTCCTCGATTTAAAGGAGGAGGACAAGAAAGACACCAAAAAAGAAGAGGAGGAGAAAAAGCGGCGGTATCGAAAGATACCTAAGACTTTTGGGAATTAGCTCAGGGTCTTTTGTATTCTGGCGAGCGTAATCGGTGAAAAGTCCCCAGACCGATGCTCGAAGCTCTTTTGCTATCTGGATGGGATAGGCGACGCTTACAGGACTTATGGGGGTTTGGCATGGTGGTGGTACGATGAACAGTTCCGTCAGCGGTTAGCAGCAAACCCTAGCATGAGGTGGGACCAAATGGACCTACCGTTATGGATAAAACTAATGATGGCGCAGAAAAATGCGCCCTTTCAGGGGACGGCCGGTACGGCCGCAGGAAGCACCGTGTCGGCCGGACAGAAAAAAGGGTTCTGTTGGCTCTACAACGAGGGACAGTGTAAGTGGGGGGCTTCGTGTAGGTTTAAACATGAATGTTCCGGATGAGGGGGCAATCACGGAGTCAACAGGTGCTTTAAGAAAGGGAAAGCTAACCTCGGGGGTACAACAGGGTCAACAGCTAAAGCGGTTGCACCTGGGAATGTCGCCAGTTGAAGGTCGGCACGATGCTGCCTTGGCTAAGGCTATACAGTAACCAGGCAGACGCAAGATTTTTGTGGCAAGGGTTTGCAGAAGGCTTCGTTATCCCATTCAGGGTTAAGGGTCCGGGAACTATGTGTACAAACCTTAAATCAGTGCGGGAGCACTCGGGGATAGTGAGGGAGAAATTAATGAAGGTAGTCCAATTGGGGAGGATGGCGGGCCATTTCTGTTCCCACCATTAAACGATTTGCGGGTGTCTCCGCTAGGGGTGGTCCCAAAAAAGGAGGCGGGAAAATTTCGCTTGATACATCACTTATCGCACCCACAAGGAGCTTCGGTGAATGATGATATCGACGCGGCCCTGTGTTCTGTATCCTATGCATCATTCGACCAGGCAATCGAGTTGGTTCGGAAAGCAGGACACGGGGCATTGATGGCTAAGGTGGATGTGGAAGCAGCATTTCGGCTGCTTCCCATACATCCGGAATGTCACCACCTTTCTACGAAGGGGGTTTCTTCGTGGACCTGTGTTTACCTATGGGTTGTTCCATATCGTGTTCCTATTTCGAAAAGTTCAGCACCCTTTTGGAATGTGTGGTGCGGCGAGAGTCGGCCAGGGGAGCAATTGTGCATTACCTCGGCGATTTCTTGTGTGTGGTGCCGGGGGGAGCCGAGCGGTGTAGTCAGATATTGAAGGTATTTCAATGGGTTGCTCACTCTTTTGGGGTTCCACTGGCAGGGGATAATACGGTTGGCCCCACCTCATGCCTCAGTTTCCTCGGTTTGGAGATTGAATCGGTGAAAGGGGAATGTAGACTGCCCACGGACAAACTACGTACGCTTTGTCAGCTAGTAGACACAATGAAGGGTGCGAGAAAGGTGACCTTACGGGGGCTGCAGTCCCTATTGGGGAGGCTAAATTTTGCTTGCCGGGTGATCCCTATGGACAGAGTTTTTTGCAGGCAGCTAGCTCGGGCAACGAGTGGGGTGCAGCTGCTAACGCACTACGTTAAGGTTTCGACGGATATGAGAGCGGATCTGGAAGTATGGGGAAGGTTTCTGAAGGATTTTAATGGTACAGTAATTTTTAGGGAGCCAGGGATATCGTCTGAGGACATAGGCCTGTTCACGGACGCTTCAGGGAGCGTAGGTTTCGGGGCTTATTTGTCGGGACAATGTTGCACTGAAGAGTGGCCGGCAGAATGGAAAGCGAGCTTGCTGATCAGGAATCTAGCGTTCCTGGAATTGTTCCCGGTGGTAGTTGCAGTGGCACTATGGGGGAGGCAGCTCACGAACAAAAAAGTGATCTTTTATTCAGATAATATGGCAGTAATCCAGGCTATCAATGGATTGTCGGCATCATTGCCGGTAGTAATACGGTTATTAAGACATTTGGTACTGCTCTATGTCTAGCAATATCATGTTTAGGTCAAGGCATGTACTGGGGTTCTTGAACAGAGTGGCTTACGCACTGTCTCATTCACAGTGGGAACATTTTCGGGAAGCGGCTCCAGAAGCACAGGAGGAGGGTCTGGCATGTCCGGAGGAAATGTGGCAGCTCGGGACATCAAGCTTGGGGAGTTCGTAAGGAGTTCCTTGGCACCGGGCACTTGGGCGGCATACGAAAAGGTTTGGGATGAGACGGTGGCACAAGTTGGAGGGGACCTTTCAGCAGGTCATCAGCTAGATGTGTTGTTATGGGTACTGTGTCGACTATTCACTAAAAAGGTGTCTCCAACTATGGTAGACAGGCACATGTCGGCGCTGGCTTTCCTATTCAAGTTTAACGGATGGGAGGACATAACCAAACACTTTCTGGTGAGGCAAGCAGTATGTGGTTTTCGGAGGGGCAAAAAATCTGTGGATACGAGGAGGCCGGTGTCATTTGCGGTGCTGCAAGGGCTAGTGGAGGTGCTACCTACCTTATGTTCCTCAACCTACGAAGTGGTATTATTTTCCAGGGCGTTTGCGTGGGCCTTCTTTGTGGCTTTCCAAATTGGCGAACTAATCAGCATCAACAAAGTGGGGGTTGGTGGTCTGCAATGGGGGGACATGGTAGTCAGCAAGGACAGGGTGCTGATCAAGTTAGGTTGTTCAAAAACGGATGTTTTTGGGAAAGGATGCTCGGTGACATTGTTCGATCTGCCAGCATCCAAGGTTTTCCCAGTGGCTTGCGGGGCCAGGTTCTCGGAAATCCGCCCCAAAAAGGAAGGTTGTTTTTTCATCCATGCGGATGGGACGGCGTTATCCCGTGTTCAGTTTATTAGGATATTTCGCCGGGGCCTACTTAAGTTGGGCCTGGACCCAGCGCAATTCGGGACACATTCTTTCCGAACTGGGGCAGCAACGAAGGCGGCACGCCTAGGTTTGGATGACGAGCGGATTAAGCGGATTGGGAGGTGGGAATCTATTCAGTTCTGCTCGTATGTGAGACCTGACAGGTTGGTGTGATGGTGGGCTGGGGCGTTTTTTCTGTTTTGTTACTCTGCTGTTCACTGTTTTATTTATTTCAGGTCGATTGGTGTGGTTGATCGGACATTCATATGTGTATTGGGCACAGAAGAGGGCCGCAGTGAGAAGAAATGGAACACAGATGGGCTTTCCTAGGGAAACGGTGGTCCTATCTTGGTTTGGATTCAGGGGTTTCAGTTGGCAGAGTATCAGTATGGAATTGTTTCGCAGGATAGGTAAGTGGTTTATCCCAAATGTAGTATTGGTTCACGGTGGGGGGGAATGACCTAGGTTTAATCCCCCAGCGCAAACTGTTGAGGAGGATGAAGAAAGATTTGGATCGGCTGGGTGAGCTGGTTCCTGGAGTGTTAGCTGTTTGGTCTGAAATGGTGCCAGCCGCTGTAGCGAGAAAAGTCAATAAGACCATGGCGGTTTTCGTTCGAAGGATAGGTGGTGTGGTTGTGCGGCACCATGAGTTGGAGGGCATGCTGCCTGGGTATTTTAGGAGAGATGGGGTGCATTTATCGGACGTGGGCTATGATTTGCTTAATTTGGGTTTCCAGGATGGTATTACCCAGGCCCTATTTATGTGTGGTGGGGGTCGCACATGAGCTTAAGGTAGTCAAGTCATGTGCTGTGGCAGAATAGGGCGTGGGTTAAATAGGATTTAGGTGGAATAGGAAGGGGGTAGGCCAAGGTCTAGGCTGGAATAGGATAGAGGGGAAAAGTGGTTGGTAGGTTCTAGCTCGTTGGTGGCTATGAACCTGGGGGTGTAGGGGTGTCTGGGTACACACCTACAGTTAAACATATGGTTTTGGGGCCTCTTTGGTAGGCCATGTGTAAAACGTTACGCATTATTGGAATGTTCATTATTGTTATTTAGTAGGGTCATTGTCAGTGGTATTGGGCATGAAGGACGGAAGTAATTAGTACTTGTGACAATGACCCAAAATTGTTAAATTATATATATTTATAATTAATAAAGCTGTAGACTTTATACTCCAACAGAAATTGGTGTCGAGTGTCATTTAATTAAGGAGTTAGCACATGCCGAATAACGACTGTGCACATGTTATGTTCAAGTAGAGATTGTAGCCGTATTAGTCCAGTGATGTAAAAAAACAGATGAAATTCGTATCTTGTAATACCTTTTACTGTTAGTCCAATAAAAAAGGTATTACAAGATACGAATTTTATCTCTCTCTCTCTCTGTTACAAGATACGAATTGTATCTCTCTCTATATATATATATACATACATACATATATATATATATATATATATATATATATATATATTTATATATATATATTACACCCATTGTACAGCGCTACGGAATTTGTTGGCGCTATATATAATAATAATAATAATAAAATAAATAATAATAATAATAATACATACACACACACACACACACACATATACCTCAATGCTTCAGTACTCGCTATATATATGCAAATTGGGAATATAGGGCCAGGGCCTACCGAGCCCCCCCAGGTGGCCCGGGCCATACAGCAGTTTCAGCTGTAGCGCTCTGACGGTGGCCCCGCCTGTGCCATATAGAAGAAATATTGCAGATAAATTCATTGCAGATAAATTCAGAAAAGCAAATTGACGATAAATTCATCAAATCACCAAAACACCTGGGGGATCATGTGTACATCATTCCAACATGGCTGCTCCCCTGACCTATTAGGTTTTCAATAATGTTTAATGGAATGAATTGTGTAATTTAAAAAAAAGTTTGCTTCTTTTAAAGTTTTATTAAACCTATATAAATGTCAAACAAATGAAATTATAGTTCTCTTTAACAAAATTCTGTGTTTCTATTAAAAGATTATTTATTTTCTAAGAATCGCGTGGACATTGACGTGTGTGTAAATCATTTAACTTATAAATGCAATCTGTAAATATCTTAACAGTTAATCGTTTGGCTGGATTCAAATGTGAAGAGAAGAGGAAAAGCTAAAAATACTGCCTTTCCCTTCCTGTTGTTTTAAAAGCCTTCGGGTCATTCCACCTCTGCATGCACTTGTTTAACTGTCTAAGCCAATTTTTTCAGGCTAAAAGCAAAGAAAACGGAAAACATCAGTTATTTTCCAGAGACAATTTCTCAATTCTCTACCACTGTCAAAAGAAAAAGTAAATATGTTGATCCACTAACTTAACCATTTAACTGACACTTTACCCATGTATCCTAGTTATAGAGAGATCAAGTCTTGGTAACATATGTATCACCTGCTACACAACTCATATAATTACACTTTAGGCCAGGTTTGGGTGTGGCTGCTGGTTCAAGTAAACATAAAGCATCAAATACCAGGTTGGGTCCCAGTGGTGAACCAGGCCAGATTTTACGAACAAGTCGCTATGGTAATGGCTCTTTGACTCTTATGTCAACTTTCAAAGCTGTACACTTCAATTAAAAATAATGTTGCCTTGGGTAATGATGACTTTAATAGGCTTGCATCTACAATGGGTAGTATACACAATTCTAGGGGTTCTACACCAAAGTAGACTACTAGAGATCTACTACTGGACTTCTACTAGACTTGGTGTTTTGTTTTTTTTATCATAATGACTGCACTGCCTGGAAAGTTCTGCCATTACTTTTTGGATCAGACATCTGACTGAATACTTGACAGATTAAAATTTCAGCAGCCACATTGGGAGTTATGTTTTTACATGTGAAAGGTTGTACAAGTCTGAGAAAGTGAGTGTCTGTGATTAAATATATACAGACAAGGGACACCTAGTCTATTGACTGTATGTATTTGGAAGGAACGAGGGGTCAATTGTTCATCCCTTCATTGCTCCCCTCATCTCAAGCACTGCCCAAGTTCTCAAGCTGTGTGCAGTTCTAGACTAGCATTCTATGGAATGATCCCAGCCCACGGAATTAAAATGTGGAAGAATAGCACATATTAGTCTGTGTGTCTGTAGGTAAAGGAAGAAGGGTACATCAAGGTCAGGAAATTAGTGTTTAACTTGCTGAAATGAGAGCAGGATTTATTATTGTCTCAAGAAATTATGGTATGGTATGACCTGAAGCTTCCCAGGAACAGAATAAATATTGGGCTTCACCGTCCTAGAAATGTGGGTACGTAATAAGGAAATAAATAAAATAAAAGAGCTCACATTCCCCAGTTTAACGAGTAATCCAAACGGATTTATTCATTCCCAGTATACTAAATGAATAAAAAAGAACTATAGAAAGCTAATTTAAAAGGCTTTTCCTAGCATCAGTTGCTCATGACTTCATGTCATAACTTTCCAGAATCCAAATAAATGTACCATAGCCCATCCCTGTAGATCCCTGTAGATCACAATTGCTACAGCCTATAAAAGCCAAATAAACTTGACTATCAATAAGAGCTGCCATCTTTGTTAGTAAGCATTGCAAAGTCTTTAAATGGTACCTTTAAAACTTTGCAGACCATATATGAAAAAGTTCCCAATGGCTGCTCTTTTTGTACGTTTATTTTGTAACCAATACATGTTGTGATTTATATTGCCCCTACACAGATCCCAATTATGAAGAAAAGCTATTAGATTCTCCCTTACAATGTTTAATTTACCGATCAGCTGTCTTTAGTGAATTTTCAGATGATCATCTGTAAATGAAACAGAGAAAATATGGTATTAGAACTGCAAAGTCAGCCACGTAAATCATTGTGTTACAAGAATTATTAAAATGGACAATTTTATGCAAGTCATTCATACATTTGCTGTGCAGAATGTTACACAACAGTACATAAGGATGGGCTTAATAACAAACATATGGTGAGTCAACATCCTCATATCCTCTCTGCAA